CGGTCCGGACCATCAGGAGACACAAACAGACTTCAGAATCAGAACCTGAAGATCCAGCTTCTGTTCTGACTGGATGAGGAGGTTTGGTCCTGGATCAGGACTCTGTCACCTGATGGGGGGGTGGGGGGGGGTTGTCCTCACAACATGAGTAAAGCCCAAACACACACACACTGATCCGGACCTGCAGGTGTCCGGTTCTGTCTCAGCTCATCAAACACTCGCTGACACGTTGATCCGTTCTCACACGGCTCTGAGGTTCTGAAACTGAAGGYCAGAGGGGACGGGACCCCGAGGGGCCTCAGGGCCAGGGGCCCGGGTCCTGAGACAGGTGGGTCCWGGACCAGCTCACCTGCACAGAAATWAACCAGACAGGATGAAGTCAAACTGATTTAACTTTAGATCAGAAATAAACGTTTGTTTAAAATAAAACTAGTTTGTTTTTTAAAGCTGAAGGAGTGAACGTGACGAGAGGTTTTATAAAAACACAAAGTTCATTCATCCAGATTAAAGAACAACAAATATACAAATATTTTTAGGTCATTTTTCTCTTTCTGCTCTTATCGTCTCTAAATGATTCATTTTGTTTCTTATTTAATCAGTTTTAGACACTGTTGTAATTTAGTGTGTTGTTTTTTGTGTGTTTGTAGTTTGTGTGTGAGTCTGTGACACGTTCTGATGGTTTTCTGCACCTGTAAGTCCACTTCTGGGTACTTTATAATCTGCTCACCTTTTTCTATGATGTAACGAACTCTGTTAAATCTGAACAAATGAAATAAAAACAGTCGTCAGTAAAGTTTGAACTCTTTGTCTTTAGGATCAAAGTAGTAAAAGTTTCAGTAGTATCAGTAAAAGTACACACTGATCATTCAGTACWCACATTAAACTGTTCAAACTCTGTAAAAAACATTTTCCCTCAGATGAAACCAGAAGTACATTGACTTCATTACTGTAGCTACTTTAGTCTTTTTGAGGAACAACTTTTAATTTTACTTATAAAATAAGATTAGGGTCAAAATAAAAATAATTCTGACTTTAATCTCAAAGTTCTCAGAATTCTGACTTTTTTTCCTCAGAATTAGAAAAACAGTTCTAGAATTCTGAAATTAAAATCAGAATACTTTTACTTACCTTTAATTTTTTTAACAAAGTTTTTTTTAGTTATTATTTTAAATACTTTACACATGTCTGGATTTAACTCATTTGTTTATAAATAATGAGTTTTTAAYACGAGGTAACCTGTATTTGTTACTACAGAACTTTAAAAGGTTTTAAACTTAATAGTTGAAAAAACAACATGACTGTCAGCTGTTTGCTCTTATTGATCTTCATTTATTGGTTTATTAACATCTTCAAAGCTCCACTAGAGGGAGCAGTTTAATCACTAAATCCTTCAGTCAAGCCATTTTAACATAATCTGTTTCTTACTTTCTGTAATTACATTCTAGATATCTAAAAATGAGTTTTGATTAGGAATAACTACATTTTGACTATCCAGAATGTTACTTTAAGATATCTGTATTAACATTCTGTAACATAATTGCAATTCAAGATATCTGAAACATAATTATAACAAGTCAAAATGACGTTTTTAGATATCAGAAACAAGAAACAGCTCACAAGCCTCCATGCTGCTCAAACTGTGGACGATGTTAACAGGTTTTAAACTCTCTGAAGTCACATCGCTTTATATCAGCAGCCTCAAACAGCAGGTGATCCCTGAAAACAAACATCAGAAACAAAGTGAATTAAATAATAAATTCTCTCGTCTTCATTGATTTATCAAAAACATTTGATCATATCTTCATAGAGAATCTTAAGGTTTGCCTGGAATTGTTTACAAACGGTTAAATAACTACATCAGGAACAGACATTTGTTCGGTTTAAGGGCTGCAKTTCTAACAGAGATACTGTGTGGAGTTCCCCAAGGGTCCATTCTTGGGCCTTATTTATTTTTGATTTATATAAATGATTTATCAAATGTTACAAGTTTTCTTTCCTCAGTAATGGTTGCTGATGATACAAACTTGCTTTTTATCCCATTCACATCTTGATTTGCTTCTGAATAACGCTCGTCTTGGTTTGAGTGCTCACGCATCATGGTTTAGATTAAATAAATTGTCCTTAAATCTTAAAAAAAAAAATCTAATTTCATCATTTTCAGTGGTAAAACATTCCCATGACACAGACCTACACCTCTCATATGATTAATGATAAACTCAAAAAGAAAAGAAAATCAAACTTCAACGCAGCTTTTTATTTAGTGAAGCTCAAGAACAAAAAGGTGAATATCTACATGATGAAAAGAAACTGCTGCACCTTTTTCAGAAAAAAAATAATTTTTTGTTAGAAGTAGAGAAAAAACTGAAGTGTGCAACATGGAGAGAAAAATACCATCTATGACACAAATTCCTGTTCAATCCTGTTCAAAGTGCTAATGCATGTTAACAGAGCTCACTGCGTTTGTTTTTTCATCAAATTCAACAAAAACATTATTCTGCTGAAAACATGTAAAATACTGTGAAACAATACAAAGGCAGTGTGTTACAGTGATTGTTGTTCAGTTCTGCTCTAAATTMAACTGGTGCACATCAATTACAAACAAAGAGCAAAACTAAACACGTAGAAAGCTAGCATGTTAGCATTTAGCACACAAGCCTGTTCTCTTGCTGTTAAAAAACATTTCATTACGAGCAATTAAACAGTCGTTTCACCGAATAAAGAATACTGAGTGAAATTTTATATCTGCTCCCGACTGAATCTACAAGCTAGCTAATGTTAGCTTATAGTTTAAAACTAATGGACTATTAGCTTTATGAACATTTTAGCTGCTGAGGTGTGAAGACTGAACTTGAAAACAAAAGTTTAATGCCCAAATTAAACAAAAAATAGCAAAATTTTTTAAGTATTAAGAAAATGAGCATTGGTATTTTAGCTAAGATGTTAGCATGCTAACACCACAATATTTTTTTAGAATGAAGCTCAAAGTCAAGAGAAACATGCTAACATGCTACGAGCTAATGTTACCATGYTAACATGCTAAAATGTACTGTTGATATTAACTGGGGCAATAAAGCTAACAGGAAGTAATTTTAGCTTTTAAGATATGACGACTGAAACTAGTTATGTCAAATCATAAAAAGCATTGGTCTCAACTAGACAATGACTTATTAGCTGACATGTTTGCACGCTAGTATGCTACATTTAATGTTTTTTTAGATGTTGAGATGTGAAGCATGAACTTGAACAAATCCAAACTAAAGCATTAGCATGATGTGTTAGCCAAGATGTTAGCATGCTAATATGCTACATTTAATGTAGTTTTTGATGTTGAGATGTAAAGCATGAACAAATCATAAGGAAAGCATTAGCATGATGTATTAGCCAAGACGTTAGCATGCTAAAACACCACATTAAATGTTTTGAAACTAAATTCAAGGGGTTAACTAAAAGGACAAACATGCTAACATGCTACTGGCTTTAAAGTTAGTAGTTTTTTAGCTGTTGAGATGTGAAGCATGAACTTGTTTACCAAAGCTATGATAAATCAAATCTAAAGCATTAGCATGATGAATTAGCCAGCATGTTAGCATGCTAATATGCTACATTAAATGTAGTTTTTGATGTTGAGATGTGAAGCATGAACAAATCCAAACTAAAGCATTAGCATGGTGTATTAGCCAAGATGTTAGCATGCTAATATGCTACATTTAATGCAGTTTTCGATGTTGAGATGTGAGGCATGAAAGTAAATCATTAGCATGATGTATTAGCCAACCTGTTAGCATGCTAAAGCAGGTGTTTGTGGAGTGTGAGGAGAACCAGACTTCAGTGAACATCATGAAACACGTTTGTGCATATTTTCTCTAAATATAACAATCTCCTCTAAAATCAAAAATAACCAAATACTTTAGGAAAAGGCACAAAAAAACCACGAAGCATCAGGTTTAATACGACAGGTAAACAGTTTTAAATCTTTTCAGGTACCTAAAGTTTCACCGTTCAGGTTTTACTCCGTTTATGATCAAACAGATCAAACGTGAATTCATTTCACCAGTAAATGTTTCCAGTGACCAACATGATCAGATCAAGTTTGGCATACAAAGGTCGTGTTCACATTATCAAATGACTTTAAGATTAAAAGTACATTTCCACTTAAAGTTGGACTTAAACAAGTCAGAATTAGTCACTGATTGATGAAAGAACCTGTTTTTCTCTGAATGAAGTCGTCAAACTGCAGTGAAGCTCATCAACATCAGCAGAGAATTAAATAAAAAAACTTTTTTTAACTTCATTTTGAGACAAAACGGTTGTGAGACGTGATTCTGAAAGAGTTCATCAGCTCCTCGTCTTCACGTCAAAAATCAAACAGAGCTTCTTCTCAGAAACCTTCAGTGATGATGAGGAGCTCAGTTCTAGTCTCTGACCCGGTCTGGGACACGTGGGTCATCTGGGAGCCATGTCCTGGATCATGGCCGGCAGGTGGATGGTGGGACACGAGTCTTTGTGTCTCAGTTTGAACATCAGCTGCTCTTTTTCCTGAGACAGCATCTGGTTCACTGTTACCTGTCTCTCCAGCGTCGCCTTGAGGTCCAGCTTCTCTTTAGAGAACTGCCTGCAGAACGGAGGACATGAATCATGATTTGTCCAGCAGGGGGCGCCATGTTCACACAGATTCACCTACAGCAAGGCTCCCTTAGAGGGACCCGAATAAACCCCATTTTAACCCCTAAATACCCTAAAAACCACGGGAATATTTGTTTTTGTTTGGTTTACTATGTTTACTTTTATAATTCATTGTTCCCCATGTGGAGGTTTTTAAATAAACAGATTAATTTATTGAACTTTTTGGAGGACCCCGAGACATGGTTCACGTGTACGGGATCAATTTTGTGCCAACAGGAAGTGAATCTGAATGTGCAGAATTTGAAACTGAATTTAAAGTTTTGTATCTGAATTAATTT